GAAAAATGGGCTTGAACCATCTCCGTTTCCCAGTACAATACTGCACATAAAATATTTGAGCTGGGGAACAGTTTTTTGGGTCAAAAAATTATAGACCATTTTAATACTGAACAGACAGGAAAAACACATGGCCCATCTTCAAAACACAGGTCAGTTATATCAGATGAATCTGGAAGCCTACATAAGATGCATCCCCTTTTAACTTCCATGGGATTAATGCTTTTGGTTTATATACGCATAAGAGAAATTTATTCATAATGCAGCTATTGCATACAACGGCGTAAATTCTCTCTCTCAATTGAAGGGCACTAGGTATTGAAACTTGATTAAAAGTTCCAAAATTTGAGTCTTTAAAAACTACTATTCAGTTTTATTTTACAAATCTTTCGTTTTCATGCCACTGACTATGTGACATAGCAACAACATCATTCCAAGCTCGATGTTGGAAAAATTCAAAAGATAACAAGGAGTGCTGCCTTTTAAATAAGTTCCTGAATAAGAATTACCATGTCCAAGTTGATCTGTATTAGCAAAACATTAATAAATTTCTTAGCGCACACGCACATACAGAGAAAAAAAGTTTCAATTATATGTAAAAAGCAACACACGTTCTTTAAGACTAACAGCTCTTCTAGTGAAGATAATTGACCTCTATGAGGCCAGCCTCTAATACCATCAAATCCCTTAGTTCAGAGTCTCAGACTCTCCTTAATCCTGTAAAAGGTATATTCCTAGCATTAACTGAACAGCAGCCTTGGGGAAAAAACCCCTCAAAAAACCAGAAAACTGTTCAAAGATAAAGCATTTTTGTTGCTGGTAATATTAAGGGGTTTGAAATGAAAAAAAAAGTAAAAACTAAGCCAGCCAGGCAAATCTTTTTAAAAAGCTTCTATTTGGTTACTCTATGATGATGATCCCACAATTGGAAAGCTCAGGTTTCAGAAGTTGCTATTTTAATACATTTGGGCAGAAAAGAAACTTAAGATAAAGAAGCACACATCTTTTCACATGTCCAGAAGTCCTCTTAATGAAAGAAATAAATCCCTCCATTCTTTCTCCTTGGCTTTCATACCAAAAATAAATAAATAAATAAAAATACCCCACCTTTGGTTTGTCTAGTTTCTTTCCTTCAAAGAAAGTGGTGCTCCTATTGTATCTCTCACAGCAGAGCAGCAATATCCCACAAGCCCTATTCTCCTTTGCTCTGGATAACTGCAAACCCAGAAACTAAACAGCATATGCTACGAATATGAATACAGAACAACAACATGCAAGGCAGGGTTCTCAACCTTTTTAGGCACAAGGGACCCCTCAGAAAATGCCAGCTTTTCACTTTCACTCTTTTTTTTTTTTGACTACAGAAAAATAGAGTAAATCTTCTGTTGCAATGAACTTGGGTCAGAATGGTTGTGACATTATGGATTCCTATTTGAAACCTCTGAGTTTATCTTGTGAAACCCTGTGTGGGCGTATAAACCTAACAGTGCTTATACTGCACCCTTAAAAGGGCTTCACGGCTCCCCTGGGTACCAAAAAACCTGGCAGAGAAACACTGTTCTAGATATCAGTAGACACAAAGATAAAGGAAGGAATCAGCAGTACTTATTCCAGGTATAAAGGAAGGAAAAATTATGGGCAGAACATCTTAAATAATCATGCAGCACTAAAAGGGACTGAGGAGATGGGGAATGAAGCAAGATCTCCATATAATTAAGCTCCTTCACGGTATCAAGAAAATGTTTTGGGGAACACCAAACAATGACCCTACACAATTCCACCATGAGTCATCAGTGCTTTTTAGTCTATAAAGAATTAATGGTTTTGGAGGAAGGCGGGGAGGAGGGAACATGCATTGATCAGCCTTCACCCTACCAGGGAGTCCATGTTGTAACCCTTGGTCTAGTAAACTTTGAAAAATACTGTCCTGACTACTCTGAAATCAGACTTCCTGAAGTCTCAAAATGCTTCTTATTACATCTGGATAGGAAAAAATTGTAACCAAATCTCACAATATTAAAAAAAAAAGCTTTAGATAGTTTTTTCTTAGGTATCTCTAACATGTCTGCTGCCATGACACATCAAGTGCCAATCCCTTCAGTGCCAAGGCATTACTTCTCCTTTGCTGTGGACAGTGTAGAGAAGGATACTTCCAACAGGCAAAAGCAACAAGTAATTATTATACATAAAAAAGTGAAGCCAGAATGAAAAAGAACAATATCTTGTTAAATCACAGCAGGCAAAGCTAGATTTTTAAAGGAAATCTAACATTACACATGCTAAACATCACTTCAAACTCCTTGCCTGTATATTGCAAGCACTTCTCAATACAGATCATTATTTCTTCATGGATGGCAACTGTCTTTATGTTTGTGAAATCTCTAGCCTACTTTTGGACTCTAGATTAAATATGAAAGCCAAGAACCTAAAGAAGTATAAAAGCATCAATAACTAACTTAAGCAGATCCCTAGCAGCTAAGGAGATCTAGCAGCTAATAAGAGGGTTGCTTCCACCTGCTGGAGATGGGAAATATTAGATGCAAAAAAGCCCCACATGTGGGGGAGAAGCAGTTAGCTAAATTGGCTTTTTTCCTATTCTCCCCTTATCAGAAGTGAGAAGTAAGCTTGTATGAGTGGCCTATTCGATGTCACTCAGAATACCTGTAGAATTAGACAAAGGAGGAAAACTTGCCGCTGGCAAGCAGCTCAAATACCAAACACAGGATGCATCCAGACATTTAAAAACAAAACACCACACCACCACCAAAAACCCAAGAACAAATAACAGGCTAGAGAGAAAAACAACTTTTTATCTTAAATACATAAAGTTTGATCTTGCCACTGCATGGATCTTGGGTACCAGTAAGCACTCAAAGAACTATGGAAAAGGGCATTGGATCCAGAGTCTGCCCATGCAGCAAATACTAGGCCCATTGAAAAAAGGACTCCATGACTCTTCAACAGTACAAAGAACAGGATTAAATCTCTAGTGGGTCATCTCCCTACCTCTTAAAGGTGGAGAGACCACACATATCCCCTTTCTCTAACAAGGCTGGGGACCATGGTGCTCAGAAGGTGCAGCTATCATATGGGAAGAGCCTCGTTAGCATGGACAATCCTCATTAGTTAAATAAACCGTTATTCCGGGCATGTCATTCAATTTGGAAAAGTGAAAATTGTTTCAAGCTTCTCTTTCTGGTTTACACAAACTGGTGAAAAGATTAAATATTTCAAGGTTTCATTTTGAAAAAAAAAGGACTAATTCAAGCCTGTAGGTACCAACATAAGAACACACATTAGGGTCTCAACTATTTTACAGTATCCATTGAAGCAGCTAAAACAACACTGCACTGGAAACTTTCCCCTTCCCATGCCCAAGAAACTGAACAGACCTCTATTTCTGTTAATTAAATACTGTTCAGTACTTTAACAATTAGGAACTGAGTGACACAGATATTAATTCCAACAATAGAAACTCTTATTAATCGATTCTTTGACTTATGCTTTAAAAAAATAGTACTTGTAAAATGATCCATGAACTTATTCCTACTATTAGTGCTGCAGTCTATTTTTGCAGTCAGTCAAATAAATATACATGTATTTTACTCTAAAGCTGTCCAAAAAGCATCTACTCCATGAATAGAATAAATGCTTGAGTCACTTTTCCAGGGTGATGTGTGAGCAAGAAATATTTATGCTTGAATAGTATCACAGGCAGTCAACTTTGAGCCTTTATTGAAGAGTACCCTGAAGTTTGAGGATTATGACTCCAAGGTCGATTTATTAGAGATCAGTCTTAATATTAAGTCATTTGACACTGTTGGTTAGAATCAGAATATTTTAAAATTGCATTACCAGGCTATTGGAATGATCAAGATGGCATATCAAACTGTTACAGCACAAATAAAGGTAACAGAATAAATTTAAAAAGTATCACGTGCTTTGCAAAATTTGATGTTGAGGCATTTAACACTCAAATTTCAGATCACAAATAGCCAAAGCTACCATGTTAACACTGTTGTGCAAATTCAAATAACATCAGAAATAAAGAGTCTCCAGCTCTCCACCCTCAACATTTTTACCTCTTTCTTGCAAAATTTTTGAAAACCAGTCATACACAACCCCTCTGTTTTTTGCTTTTACATCCCATCATGAAGTAGAACAATTTTTAGCTGTTGACAGACACTGGGATTTTGACAAAGGCACAAGCTGCTGCACATCCAGTTTTCATGCAATTCAGTGGCATGCAGACACCTAACTCTCCCTCCAACTTCTCAAAAAATCCAAGGCACAACATTTCCAGGTAAACATTCTTTGGTCTAAAATAACTGTTGCTTAACAAAGATAGCCGGACAACCTTATTCTGAAAATAGAACAGTTGCTGAAAATTCAAGAGCTCAGGAACATGATTTCCTCCCTCTCCACATATTGAAAATCATGCACTGAAAGACCGGAAACACTCAAAAGAAAACCGAAGGTTTAAACCATGAAATTACATCAGGGTCCCATTCTTAAAGCTACCAAATGCTTGCTACATCTGACGTTTGACATAAAGAAAAAATATGGATACTACACTGCCCTTAAACTTTGTCTATCCAGTGCTCAATGGCAGTTTTTAAAGGTGCTACTATGCAATTCCTTATGAAACTGATATTCATTCCTTATAAAAGAAGTGTTCGCGGCACTGATCCGACTCTGTTATTCTACCAGGTGGGCAAGCTGTGTCAAATCTTACCTCGCCAAGACTACTAACTACATTACATTTTTGACAACTTCTACAGCCACCTGAAGAGCAGACTGAAACTATGGATTCATTTTGCAGACAAATGAACACTTACGAGAGAGCTCTGACTTCAGGTTCCCACCGACCGAGGCACAGTAGGAGTAACCCACCTAGAGACACAAAGTTCCTATGTCCCACTATGAAATGACAGCACTTCAGTGAAGATGACTATTAACATTACTAGAGCATTTGCTGCTGAAAATTAAATAAAAAGACTTACTTGTGTCACGACTGTTGTATGGCCATCCTGAGGCAGGTAAAAAAGATGGCATGGGAGAGCTTGCTCTGCTGTCATCCTCTACTTGCTGAGTAATGTGACGCACAGTTTCTTTATTTTTTCTGTTCTTTCTGCGTCCTGTGGGCTGCCAGCCATCCCCTCCTCCTTGCTCCGACAAAGCATTCTGTATTGCACTATCCTTGGCAGAACGTAATTCATTCCCTCCATAATGCGACGGTGAAACCTGCTCCTCTTTGATATGTAGAGACCCATAACCCATGTCACTGGACCAAAGAGACTGGGATGAAATGTCATCATGGCTATCAGTTTTTGGTTCCTGATCCTCTTTTCCATAACTGCTCCCTCCTTCGTGACAGCTAGCAATGGCAGAATCTCCAGAGGAGTTTGCTGGACTCGTTCTCCGAGCTAACCATGGAGATATACTCCTGCCAGCCACGACTGCTGAGATCAAAGCATCCGTACTACTGCTGGAAGGAGCTCCAAGTTCATAGTCAACAAGGTCATCTGAGGCATCAGATTTTATGCTTATGTCAAGAGCTGCTTTTATGAAATTGTGACAGGCTTGGACAATATCAGTCATTTGCAGATAGCTCGCAGCTGACATGACCTCAATGACATTTCTGCTGGTCAATGCTAGGTGTGCAGAATACATGAAGTCAATGATTGCTTTAAAGCCCTGTGCGGTTACAATGTCTAAATGAGTGACTGTTGCCTGGTCGGATGTCTTTTGCACCTGGCAGTACAGTGTCTTGAAGTACCGACTACTTCCGAGCAAAACATTTTTATGAGCCTTGAAGATCTTCCCTTCCACTATAATGCAAACATCACAGAGGATGCCGTGTTGTCTCTGCTCATTGAGCTCACGAAGTAGATGACGGTAATGGGAGGCAATCTCCATATCTTCCTTTCGGTTATTCATTTGGGAATCGTTGTGTTTCCTTCTCCACAGATCCTGTTTCAAGGGGGGCAGGAGGGAGTGAAAGTGTTATATTCAAATACAGTACAAATTTAAAAGACTTATTTTATACACAATACTTCTATGAAAAATAAACTGCATGGAACTAAATAGTCTCCAAGGATTAGTCTATAAGCAAAACACAATTTATTGCCTAGCGTAGATTGTGCACTCCTAATATGATGTATCTGCCTTACCAGTTATTCAAATAATTCATATTATTAAGAGACATCAAAACAGAAGTTCAGTGCTCTGAAAGGCAGTAGTGTCTCAACGAGACGTCACATACCAGAGACCATACTTCAAATTATCATAGGATTATTGTAGAAATATGTCACTAAATTACTGAAACTGTCTGGTAAAATGCCTGTCAGTTTTTACCATTTAAGGTTTAGTTTAAAAAAAAAAAAATACTAGAAATAAAACTACACTGATAGATGCAAAATATCAAATAGCATTCTGTGGCAGTAGTTCCACAGGGAAAAAGTATTATGTATAGCACACTGAATAGTTTAAATCCTCAAACAGTAAAAGCCAATTGAAACTAGCTATTTTTCTTGCTATATTGGTGCTGTGGGGCTATAAACGCTGTCAAGTGTCAGAAGAACAATAGACAGATTGGAGACCACATTTCAGAAAGCTTCAAATTCCCACCCAATAGAATGAATCAGTAACATACAAAGACTAGGAAGCTATTTTGCCTGAACTTTACTTCTTTTCTGTGAGATCAAGACATTTTTAGCATTATAACATAGACAGGATAGGATTAATATACCGTTTCCTCATTAAGTGTCCCTTTTGAACTGAACAGGTTATTCTCTACACATCTAAAAACCTCCCCCCACTCTCAAACATGGACCAATAAAACACCTTTGTTCATCAGATCCTATGGGCACAAACCTAAAGGCAGTTCTATGATGGAAGCTGTAGGCAACACATTAAACTGATGACAATTTACTGGGCTTTCCCCACCCTTGCTAGCCTCAGCAATCAGCCCAACAAACACCCAAATGTGCGAGCCCAATGTCTTAGGGTTGCGTTTTTTGTTTTAAGTTAAATATACAGTTATTGCCAAAAGATGTTTTCATTGCCTCAAGTTCTCAATCAAGTTTATTTATTTAAAAGAAAGTTTTAAAATAAATGTTTTAGCCTTAACTAAAATTTAATCATTTTCCCCATATTATAGATAGAGTAAAATTCAAAGAATACGAAGCAGCAAAATGATAAATTAATATTGAAGTTTTTATAGGCTACTAAAGTGTAGGCACAATACATACGCAATTTCCATATATTAAATAAATTTAAACCAGATGCAACTTAATTCACTTCTGAAGATACTATGAGTTAAGCTTGCTATCCATTCAGGCCCCCCCATCACAGGAGAATAACCCTGCTAATGTCTCAAGATACTTCTTTGTTGACATAATGCTCATCAAAAATTCCTACCACTCATGTAAAAAGCCTTCTAATTTAGGCTTAATCCAGGCCTAAAAAAACAAAACAATGCACATGAAGCTTGCAGTCAGGACAGGTCTTGTCATTTGTGCCAATACCTCACTTCCACGTGAACTAGTTTCACAATCTCTGCCATGTGTGCAATTCCATAATACTAGACTCTCCACCAGAAATTCTGCCGGTCTTTATGCTTCTGTTTGAAGCCCACTGTAATAAAATATTCTAAAATGCTGTTTGAGCAGTGAGACCCTAACATGCAAAGTTGTGAGCCCAGGGGATGCTCTATTACAGAACAAAGCATATTTTCTCATTTCATTCAGAAACTGAACTTTGCCATAACAATGTGTGGGTATTAGACTCAAACAAACAATATGAGACAGCCATTTAAAGCCATTTTTTAGAATTGTGTACACGACTAAATTTGCATATCTATACATAATTATATACTAGACGCCAGGTAGGCATCTAACTGAGTTTGCATTCATCTACCAAATGCACATGAAATGACTCCAGATAACATGATACAGAAGAACTTGATATTCACAATGATATTTTTTAAGAGAATAGCTGGAGAAATAAGGACATTTTCAGAAAACTGGATTAGCTTTTAGTCACCTATTTAAAATAAAGACCCATCTGCTCCAGACAGTTTTACTAGAAGGGAACAAGCCTGGCTTTATGACTGGACTTTGATCAGGCAGACCTAACCTCATATGAAGAAGAGTCATCAGTACTGTGGAAAGGCTTAACAACATTAGAGATACATGGCCCAAAAAAAAAAAAAAAAAAAATCAACACAGACAGTTGCTTTAAATTTAAGTTCCTCTGCCTCTTAAAATCTGAACTGTTATATAATATTTGCTATAATATCCACGTGCCTTGTAGGTCATGGTTGTCTCGATTTCCACCCCCAACAAACATACACCTCCCATAGAAGCATTCATGACAAAAAGTAAAAGATGAAAATTGTGTTAGACTGGGGAGGAGAGTGGAGGGAGAATTCCCTTTGAAATACACACAATATTATTGTCTGATTATTAATCATCTTGGAGAGCAGGATGCTTTAACCCAATACTTTCCTTATAATAATTATAATAAAGAAGAGAAAAGGACATGAAGCAAAATAGTTATACCCTCTCCTTCTGAAGGATCTTCCTAACAGCTCAGGACATCTACTGTCTCATGTACCATTTGTCTCCATAGGCTCATTTAGGTACAGTATGTGGGAACAGGTTTTCACCTTCTTGAAGCAAAGACTAACTCTGTTAAATCGTCTTCCACTAAGGATCTTTGGAAGGGACTAGCTTCCCCCAAGGAAGGATGAATCCTTGAACAGACAGAATTTTAGCAGCATATTTTTGTATAATAACTGAACTCCATTTGGAGAAGCCAGACCTAGAGATTCTCATCCTGCGGAATAAGACACAACCTAGTCTTTTTTAAGTCAACTGGCAGAGGACTTTACCTGCTGATTATGGAAATCTACCCTGCAGTCCTCAAATATAGGTGTGTTGAAATCCCATTGAAAACCAATTTGATTGAAATTGTATAGACAAGGATCAGATGAAAACCAAAGTGTGAGAGCACTGGAAAATTAAATTCTTAAGTATTTCATCTTGCAGAGGAAAAATACTTGTTGGAGGTATCCAGGCTAGAAATAATCCAACCAGTGATTTGAGCACAGCTTAATAGTTCCTTAATAGTTCCTTTGAGTTCTATACAAGGAAGCTCTTGGGGAGTCCTTTTCAGGGAGGAGGACAGGTAGGCTAGAGGCTATTGCATCTATTTTTACAAAACAAAGGGGAATTGTCACATAGAATAAATTAAGTTGTTCATCATCCATCCCCATCTCAATGGCTGTCATTACTAAAGCTTCTGAGAAAGATACAACCCCTCCCAAAATAACCCCAAACCCTTCATAATATAGTTATGAAGGCTTAAAAGAGTCCAACTTTTCCCTTTTGTGTTGCCATTCTGATATCAAAATTAGTATGAAAGGGAGCACCTTTTTTGTACCTGTCTGGAAAATGGTTTAAAAGTTCTCCCCCATGGTACGAAATCCCTCCCCTTCACAATTTGCTATAGAAATAGTTTATTGATAATAATTCATCTCTTCACCAGTCTTGAGGAGTCTCAAGTAGTAACAGCCGCTCTGATTTCTTCAATACTTTCTATTTGGAACTCAGGTAATTCTCCTTTCATCTGATACAGGAGATCACTGTCATTACTTATATTTGGATACATGTAAGTTTTTCCTCTGTCTATTGTCTGCTGATTACTCTGTTGGACCTTTCTGATGTACCTTAATGTTAGAGTTATCTTCCAAGAGAAGAGCCACAGTGACAGAAACATCATAAATGTCTAGACAGATGTGGGCTAGAAGGGATCTCTGCTAGACTGATTACATACTTAATCATCACCTACTGCCTTTTTAAAGCAGGGCTTTTAAAATTGTCCTTTTCTGATATTACAGTAATTCAAGTTAACTCAATTGTTCTACTAGCCTTGTGCTGTTTACAGACATGGCACTTGCTAGCCTCAGCAAATGAGTGTCTCAGTGATTTTCACTGCTTCTAGAGGTAAAAAGATACAGCACTGCCCTCTCTCCCAGTCACCAAGACCTTGACAGAAGATGCCCTCTGGGCAAGCCAAGAAGAATGAGCACAAGGACACAAATAGGAAAGCACCTTGCCTTGTGCTCTTTTTCAGTACTGTCAGAAATATGGGCAAACAAGGTGAGAGGATACATTCTGAAGGGTAAAACCATTTCCCCACTAAAGTTTCTTAGGGCAGACTCTGTGGAATCAGGCCCTGCAAGCTCTGCATGGTGGGGGGCTGACAGGAACATTGCACCAAACAAAGAAGAGCAAGCAAAAGTAGCTGTGGCATCTTCAGGCAGGCTACAGGCAGTTCAGGCCAGTCTGGAGTGGGAAACAGCAACAAACCATGGCGATGTTCAAATTATTCTGTTCCTATTCTAGGAGCTACTCAAATATTAAGTACATAAGTGGTAAGAGTGTTGGAAACCAGGCTTGACTTCTTTGGGAGGAGCCTTACTGCAAATAAATACAAATGTGTGTTAATATGCAGCATGTAGGAGCTCTAGTCATAGGCCAGGAATCCAGTGCCCCAGCACTGTACAAACAGAGCAAAAAGACTGTCCCCGCCTCAAAGAACTTATGGTCCAAGTTTGAAACAAGAGGGAACAGATGGAAACAGATGAAAGGGAATCAGGATAATATTTTTCAGAATAAGGCATACAAGGAGCCTAAACATTATCTAGGGTTTTTGTTGGTATTACAGAAGAGTTTTAGGGAGGGGGATACTGAATGATAGCAAAGCAACTTTCTACTTGCAGGGCTACTTATTGGGAGCTTCTCTGAAGCAGGGGAGAATGCATGCAAGTGCTTGCTTTGGAAGCTGAACTAGATGCCAGTTTCCACAGCCCACATCAGGCACAGATTGGGACTGATGACTTGATACAGGATGAGAAGTGATAGGCTGCAGAGTGCATGAAAGGCCTTGAAAGTAAAGCACCATAG